TAGACGGCGGAACCGACCGTGACGCCAATCGTGCCGCCGCAGCTGCGAGCCAGGTCTGTGGTTCATCGTCAGTGACTGAACAGAATAGAAAAGGGCATCCAGGAGGATGAGAATCAACGAGAGGAGTCTTGCGAGACGTACATGTGGCGGACGTGATGACGGCTTGCTGGGAGTGGTCGACAGCCGCGATGCAGGCGAGTAGCGTAATGGTCAGCATGCCGCCGTAGCCGCCGCCGGCCATGAAGAAGACGAGGCCGCCGGTCCACGTGGGCGTCTTTTCGTCGAACGAACAGAGGACAGCGACGGCGATGGTGAGGAGAGTCAGGACGGCGGTGCCGAGGAGAAGGTAGCGGCCCGTCTTCTTCATGAGGTAGCCGCAGCCGAGGGAGAAGACGGAAATGCCAAGCGGAGAGGGCAGGAGGCGGAGGCCGGCGTCAGTGGCGGAGAGGCCGATGACCTGGAGGTAAAGGGGCACGTAGAAGAGAGCCATCATGATGACCATTGTGCTGAGAAAGTTGCAGAGGCAGGCCGCGATGACGGTGCGGTGCACGAGGAGCTTGACAGGAATGATAGGTTGCTTGGCTCTGCTCTCCCAGATGATGAAGGCGACAAAGGCCACAACGGAGAGGGGAATGGTCGTCAGGGGCAGGGGGTGCAACCAGGGCACGATGTTGCCTCCAGCGTTGAGGCCGAGCAACAGGAGCACGAGGAACGAGATAGTTAGGAAGGCGCCGACAAAGTCGATGCGAGCGAGGTACGACTTGTCGGACGCCTTGGGAGGCACGCGCACGAGAACGGCGACGATGATGGCCGAGACGATGACGGGCGGAACCTGGATCAGGAAGGCCAGCCTCCAGCCCCATGCCGTGTGGTCGTTGATGAGACCGCCAAAGACACCGCCCAACATGGCACCGCCGCCGTACGCGATGTTACCGACGCCCTGGATGATGCCGCGTTTGCGCAGAGGAACGAGATCGGAGGCCAGGAAGGTTGAGATGGACATGAGGCCACCGCCACCAATGCCAGCAATGACTCGGCCGAAGATCATGACGTGTTGGTCCTGGGCGAGCCCGCAGATGAGGTTCCCGGCAGCGAAGAAGACATTGCTAAAGATGAGGCCTGGTCCACGGCCGAAGATATCCGTCAGACGACCCGATAGAGGCTGACAGGCAGCGTTAGAGATGAGGTAGGCCGTGGCGAGCCATGATAGGAGACTCAAGGACTTGAACTCGCTCGAGATGGGGGCAGATAAGGTAGCGATGATGGTGGAATCAATGGCACCGAGAAACACTCCCAGGTAAGCGGCACCGAGAATAAGAGTCAGCCGCGTGGGAGAGACGCCGTCGGCAATGACTGTTGTCTCGCGATCCTGGTCCGGTAGTTCTGGCTCGGGAATGGAATCGGTCTCTGAGGGTCCGAATCCCGTAGGCCGTCGTCTGGGCTCATTGAGGAGAGGGGTCGTTTCGGAGCTCTCATCGGGTTGGGTCTCCGAGGGCCTGGTGTCGTCAGCCATGGTGGTGTTGGCGTATGTGAGACCTTTGCTGTCAACCGAAGCCGTGAGAATCTCGTGATCTCTATGATTGGAGCTGGGGGCAGGCGAGAAAGAGAGAGAGAGAGGTGCTGCGAAGATATCGCGGTTAGTTGCGGATGTTACCCATTTCGCCTTCCTGGTCCTGGCCTTAGGTAAGGCACCTTAAGGAAGGAGAGATGGAACAAGAGGAAGGAGGGGGGCCGATGACGGCATCTCGAGGCAGCTTACCTAAGACCCTTTTTGCAATGGATTGCGTGGCTCGCACCTTCGGCACCCACGCCTACGCCCTGCAATGACATGGCTTTGACATCCATGGCAACCTTGATGGCCCGAAACCGGGAGCCGATGAATGCCACGACCTGCCCAGCGACTCCCTTCTCCCTCCGCTGAAGTTTCTTCTTCTCCTCTACATCCGTTTACTCTTAGCAAGCGCGTCGATTCACCAACCCTTCGTCTTCGGGCCCTCGTCAACGATCAGGACCTATAATCATGATTCGACCAACCAACGGTGGACATACCTAGCCCCGCCCCATTTGGCCTCCAAGGATGGAGCCCCTGCAGGTCATGCCACCTCCGATGTTCGCAGGCGGAGAGAGAGTGTGTGTATGAACCTCAAGTGAAGGCTGGAAAACTCGACCACCGCCGTTCGGTGACCTGAAGCATACAATACAGGTGCATCATGTCTGTCATCAACCGCAGTTACGACCTGTCTGGATTCTGTGAGAAAGTTGAATCACACCGACCGCAAATGACACAACGGACACGAGCAAGGGACGTGGGGGGGGGGGGGGGGGGGAACTCTGGCCCAATTTTCCGTGCACACTCAACTCACAGGATGA